GACTAATTGTACACAGGTCACTAGTCTCTTGGAGAGGGTGGAAGCAACTTTTGTCCAGCATTTTTCTGATTCAAATCGCAGAGAAGGCATGAAGTCATTGAGACCGAAGCCAAAAAAAGAGAGGCATAAAGTAACATTTTTCTCAGGTTAAGGATATTTGTTTTAGTAATGTAGTTATATCAGGATACATTCACAATTTCGGGTCTTCATTGCTTGTTAGGGCATGAAAAAACTACAAACTGCAATGTGATTCTTCTGGTTTCCAGGTTTTTTTTCTGGTTGCTCAGCTGCACTTGTGATTGCTGTTGTTCTGAGAATAGAAACCAAAAATTTGATGGATAGGGAGGAAGGTGCAAGATACATGGAAAACATTTTCCCCTTATACAGGTAGGAAAGACCTTGTTGAAGTTTAATTTACTTTCCATGAAATATCTGAAAATGCATCTTGGATACCTATCTAATTGGATGGATGAATCCCATCAATGAAAATCTTTTCCCCCCATGTTTGCAGTTTTTTTGGATATGTCATTCTCCATATGCTAACTTATGCGGCAAATATATACTTCTGGAGACGATATCGGATTAACTACCCATTTATATTTGGGTTTAAGCAAGGAACAGAACTGGGATATCGTGAAGTATTTCTTGTAAGCACTGGTCTAGCAGTACTTGCACTTGGCAGTTTCCTGGTAAATTTGTACCTGGATTTGGGCTCAAAAACTCGAAATTTCAAGACATTCACTGAACTGGTTCCTTTAAGCTTAGTCACGGTACGACAATTCAAATAGTCCCCATCTCCCTTTTCTAAACGGATTTCATCCTTCCAACTATCCAATTTGCTTATGCTTGTGGTATGATTCTTTCTGATTAGCTGTTCTTTCAGTGCAGGTCGTTCTTATAATACTTTTCTGCCCTTTTAACATCATATATGGTTCAAGTCGCTTTTTCTTCATCAGATGTCTTTTTCACTGTATTTGTGCTCCTCTCTACAAGGTAAACAAGATGAGATGTAGAGTATCCATTAGGACGTTCAGCTAGATGGTGATACAGTTTATTATGTTCTGTCCTAGCAGGTTACTCTTCCAGATTTCTTCTTGGCAGACCACCTTACCAGCCAGGTGTAAAGTTAGGAAGTGCTTTTAATTTTTTCATTGGCCACTCCATTTAGACATTTTCTTAACATACTTTCCATCATCCTAATTTTCAGGTGCAGGCTATAAGGAGTCTTGAGCTGTACATTTGCTATTATGGGTTGGGAGAGTATTCTCAGAGACGAAATAGGTGCCACAGCCATGGTGTCTATAATGTTTTCTATTTCATTGTTGCCATCATCCCGTATTGGATGCGCTTCCTGCAGGTGAGATTTTTCTGCAAAGTGTTCTCTGGTAACTTTCACAACAGCATAGGGATAAGTCAAGAGAGGATACTGTTAGCGAAATTTTGTTTGTGATTGGTAAAATTACCGAGTTTTCTTTCAATAAATAAGCTTCCGTTAAGTGGATGTCTGACAAAATGATCTGATTGTAATCATCTTGAATATACAACGGGCCAATAAAAAACTTGAAAGTATAACGAATTTGATTGAAAGTAACTGCAACATGGAATAACTATTACTGTAGTTAGCCATTGCAATTGGTATATCTGAAGTACATCTTGGAAGGACTCTTGCTGATTTGCGTTCTTTTGCTGCCTTGAGTTCACTTGGGTGCATGAAAATAATTAAAAAAATAGTAGTGATGATACAAACATCCAAGTACACAACTGCTTAACTTAGGAAACATTTGTGCAACTTATTTTGCGAGAAATGGCGTTTTGTCCTTTGAATAAATGCTCCCTGACAGCATTTGCTCGTATTCACTGTCAGAGTACTTCTGATGTACTAGCCTGGTATTAATGGAAAGTGTAGCTGGAGTCTCATGATAATTACTTTTACATGAATCTTGAGCATTGACTTTTGGAGAAGATTTCGTGTTATCGTTCAGTGCCTCCGGCGATTGTGTGAAGAAGGAGATGCGGTGCATGGATTCAATGGGTTAAAATACTTCCTGACAATTGTGGCAGTTCTAGTAAGAACTGCTTGTGAACTCAAGAAGGGACGTGCATGGTTGGTTCTTGCTTTCATCAGCTCAGCCGTCGCGACAATAATGAACACATATTGGGATATTGTAGTAGACTGGGGGCTTCTTCGAAGGCATTCCAGGAACTTTTACTTGAGGGATAAACTTCTCATTTCACATAAAAGTGTTTATTTTGCAGCCATGGTACATGACTATTTCTTACGCCAGAATTTGTTTGTGCTCTCACTGTTTACGTTTCTTTTAAGTTGATATTTTTTTTTTCCTTCTGGATGCCACTGTAGGTTCTAAACGTAGTCTTGAGACTGGCCTGGATGCAGCTCGTGCTGGAGTTCAAGTTGCGCTCCCTGCATAAGATGGCAGTTACAACCATTGTCTCTTGTCTAGAAATCCTTCGTCGTGGAATCTGGAGCTTCTTCAGGTACCATACCTCTTCAAATATAAAGAGAAAGTTCAGTGTCTATTTGCTGATTGAATTACTGTTTGATAAAACTTTCCGGCCATTAAGTAGTGGCATGAGCAAGAATGAAACATCTTTCACTGATTGTGCTGATCAGAAGAAGGCTTATTATTCTTCGATATCATTGCAACAAAAGGTTTTGTTTTATGACATCGTTAAAGAGGATTGCAATTTATCAGGTTGGAGAATGAACATTTAAACAATGTGGGAAAGTACCGGGCATTTAAGTCTGTCCCTCATCCCTTCAATTTCTATGATGAGGGCACTGGTGATGACAACTCTGACAAAGATGACTAAGGTGATTCGGAGTTCAAATCCGTGAGGTCAATATGGTGCTCCTCACGGGCAATCTGCAACCAAAGTTTCCATCAGAACATGCGGCTTTTTGGCATGTGTCGAATTCTACCTTCTATGCGAGCTCAGGCTGTTCCAGCTAACTTGTTTGTCTTAATTAAGTAGCAAGCAGAAATGTGACATACTTTCTGCATTTTAATACACATGAAACTTGTTAGTGAAATTGATTTTAGCTCATCATTCATATTCAAACTTGGCCTATTGAATGCCATGGACTTTTCTATTTTCAGATCTGAAACACATGAAAGGTCCTGTCTCCCTCTATTTAGAATTTCGTTGAAAATGACTGTCGATTTGATTGCGTAGTCTCTTAGATATCCATTTTTTAGGGTTTCTAATCTAGACATGCCAGAAGCCATCTGTCATGTTACGGAATTTTCTTCGAACAATTAGGAAAGAGTTGTCTTAAATATAAGGACAGATAACTTTTTCTTGGCAAAAGTATCAAAAAAGTCATAAACCTTTTGCATTGGTGCCGATTTAGTCATAAACCTTTTTTTTGTGCCAATTCAGTCCTAAACTTTTTGCATTTATGCCGATTTAGTCCTAAACATTTTGCATTGGTGCCAATTCAGTCCTAAACATTTTGCATTTGTGCCAATTGAGTCCTAAACATTTTGCATCTGTGCCAATTGAGTCCTAAACCTTTTTTTGGTGCCACTTGAGTCCTAAACCTTTTGCATATGTGTCAATTTAGTCCTAAACCTTTTGCATTTGTACCAATTCAGTCATAAACCTTTTTGAGCTAAATTAACCGGAAGGACTGAATTGGCACCAATGTAAAAGGTTTATGACTGAATTGGCACCAAAAAAAGGTTTAGGACTCAATTGGCACCAATGCAAAAGGTTTAGGACTCAATTGGCACCAATACAAAATGTTTAGGACTAAATTAGCATCAATACAAAAGGTTTATGACTGAATTGGCACCAATGCAAAAGGTTTAGGACTGAATTGGCACCAAAAAAAGTTTAGAACTAAATTGACACCAATGCAAAAGGTTTAGGACTTTTTTGACACTTTTCCCACTTTTTCTTGTATTCTTAGCCCAAAGAGTTTCAGCAGGTGCTCCTTACCAAAAAAAAAGAGTTTCAGCAGGTGCTTCGAAGCGGAGGCAATGCTTTCATTTGGTGAGGAAGCAAATGGGAGGGGTTAAGGGTCAATGCGTTTGAACAATTTGCCATGAAGAATTTCAGTGAACTTCGCGATGCTATCTTTATCCTACTCGAAAGATCTTAAAATTTTAGGTAGGGCCAAGAAACTGTTCAAACAGGTTCCTGTTCTGTCGTTGCTGAGACTCTTGTTAATCTTGGTCGTCCTCTTCTTTCATTCACCATGGCGAAAATGTGAAGTGTTTCACGGAGCAAAAAATTTTGCTTGGAAGCTATTTGATTGATGGAGCACTTCAATCATCTATTCAGAACTGAAGAACCAACTGTTTTAGCTCTACAATTTTAGGTTTGGTTGATTTCATATTTTGAAATGAAACGAATACAGGCTGGGTTAATTCCAACGATAATGAGATAGTCATATATTCAACTACTGACATGCGTCTGACAGAGATTGTTGAGGAAAAATCCAGGCAAAGCTTTACACAAGGAAAAAGAACAAAAAAAAAGACGAAGAATAACAAATTGATATTTTGCACTGAGATTTTGCTTTTGCACCTTCTCGCTAGAATTGTCTTCACACTCTGTAGCGAGGCAGCATCGACCGAATGGTTCTTCCGTTTTGGTTACTGAAATTGCATGCATTCTCATTGGAATTTCAAAATGACAGTATAAGGGAATGATATTGATCCCGTTGGAAGTCGTAGCCACTTCAAGCACACAATCAGCAATCGCAAGGCATCAGATCGTCTGCTATTACATAGGAGTCCTGAAGGTATCTTTGAAACCAAATGGCTCCGGTGAGATATTTGGAGAGAGAGAGAGAGAGAGAGAGAGAGAGAGAGCTGATGTTGATCCATCACAAGAAGTTTTAAAATCAATCATAGGCAGAGAAGACAAATGTCTCAGAAATTCATGCAGGAGAGAATTTCCCTTTCCCATGATCCTTAAAGAACGTATAAGAATGCATAATATAGCGACGGTTGACTGCGTACGGTATTCCATTTCCCAGAATTCCACTTTATAACACTCCAAAGTCGATCTCGATCCCAAAAAATACAAAACAGCAACACCGGCACCTTAACAAGGACACCTTCATCGATTTCCATACAAGTTTAGCAATATGATGACAGCATGATGGTTTCTTTCGAAAAGTAAAGATAAGCAGAAAACAGCCACAAGAAACTACCGTCATTTCTGCATTACCATACTACAGGGCAAACTTGAAACAAGTTTTACCCAGGACATTTTCTCTAGATCCAGGAATATCTTTTTGCATCATTATCCCTCATTCATCTCTAGTGGCAGTATCCAACCCAGCCGAAGGACTGTCTGCGAAGTACTCCTGGTGCTTCACATTGACACCATACTGAAAACGGAAAAATAAAGGGCAATTTGTCATCGATCATCTACCACACAAGAGATTAAACATGTAAGAGGATGAAAGTGAGAAAGGTAGCACAGGCAATTGCAAAATTTTCAAGCCAAACTATCACTTCAATGACCGAAAGTTCTAGATTCTAACCTCACGCAGAGCTTTTGAGAGATCGTCCATTGTCAGGATTAGGCGCTTATCCTGTAATTAAAAAGGTCAGCATGAAAAGAGAGAGAATTAGATTAGATGCTACTGTCAGATGTATGAGTTAACACCTTCTGCTGCTTATCCCTTTTGTCTTTCACTATTGAGGCCTGTCTTGCCTTGCAATGCCTGTTATAAAATACATAGAAGGCTTTCAGGAAGTTAGCTCAGTCAGACTAGCACATCACCCATAAACTGCAAAAGGAAGCAGCGCTGAAATAACAACACCAAGTAAGATAAAATGCTAACTTTCCATTGTTAACTCCATACAGGAATCAATGAAAAGTTTGATGTCCGTACAGATATCTCCTCTTTAAAGATTCTTATACCTAGACATTCTTTTTTTTTTTTGCATTATAAAACAAATTTCATTTAGCCATAAAATCTGAAAACATGGTCCTCATATTAAAATCCTTCTTTCGTCAATTCACTAAGAAATATATATCCTCAACTCATGTAAAATGTGAACGCTAAAATTAAAAGAGACATTTCGGTCAAACATAATACGCGTCCCTAGCAGTGTTACCGACTCAAAGGTAAACACATCAGCAAAATTCAATTATTAGAAAGAAGATAACTGCAGTTACATACTGAAGAGCATCACTAGCAATATCTGCAACGAACTTCTGTGTAGCAACAGCTACCAGCCTTGTTCTGCACGTACAGGGGAGAATAAGAATCAATACTCCATGCCATAAAGAATCAGTGAACTCCCTATGTAAATATAAATGTGACAATATCCAAAGATTCATATAAAAAAAAAACTCTCTTTGTCTAGAACACTAAATAATTTAGGTAATTAGGTCCAACGAATTAACTTTGGCTGCGTTTGGTCGTCCGGATTTCTAAACAGGATAGGACTGGATAGGATATGATAAGAAATCTTGGGATTTCTTCATATTCTATTCACTGTTTGGTGGACTACGGATTTAAAGTCGGATAGGATAAATTTTTTTTTTTTTTTTGCTATTCACGGGTCCGGAGGAGTCGGTGAAGGAAAAAAAGCCGAGAAATTTTTTTGGTGAAAGCGCACAAGGTGTGGGGATGAAAATGACGGCGAGTGGAGAGTAGGGTTTCTGGAAAAATAGACATTAGAAATCCTATCCAGGTCTATCCCACCCCCCCCCCCCCTCGGATTTTTTTATCCGGTCTATATCCGACCTTATTCTATCCTGGACCACCACCAAACACAGGATAGGATAAAACATATCCTATCTTGACTTTTATCCGGTCGACCAAACGCAGCCATAGGGTTATTGGTGTCTAGTCCCACCAGATTATCGCCCACCACAATACCCTCAATCTTAATCAAGACGCACGTACATTTCAATGACTCTGGAAAAAGGCATTATCTTTTTCACACATAGTCCATTCCTAGTTTGAAGCAAGGAAAATAGAATTTAGGAGGTATGACTTAAATTATCTACCTCCCCTCCCTTCCCCCCCCCCAAAACAATAAAAAGAAAACCATAAAAAAATGTACAAGGAACCTTATGGAGAAAAGGCAGGGAAGGAGTTAGGTCGATCTGATTACCTCTCCCGACAAGTAAAAAAATAAAGCTATTTAAGGATCATGTAATGTGCAACTTTCATGGTCATCAGGATGCTAGACGAACCACGATCATGCTGTGCTTCATCTGAAATCCATAACATATCCTATAACAAAATCTTTAGAACTTTGGTAGTTCAGCCATTGCCAAGTGGGCACATGATAGCAACATAATGATAATGCAGTTCTGAGTCTTCTCATTGGGAAGTGTTTCTTCTCCAGACTCTAATAGAATTACTAATGCCCACCTCCTCCAATTACGACAATATCATATCCAAATTCAATGATTTGCCACCAATATTTCCAACATTGTTCGGAATCCTTCGAGGCTAACCCACTATGTGAATTCTTTCAGTCAAAACTCTCATCATCTTCTCTATCCATGAATCTGTAATCACCTTTCAATTACATCTTCATCCATGAATCTTTTGTTCCTTACAAACATCACTGAAAAAGTGAAATCATTCATAACAATGAATAATGAACACGCATAAAGTTTTCCGTTTACTTTATATCAAGTCCCAATTAACAGATAGAGTTAACATACAGCTTCTTGCTTTCCTTCAAGCCACAACCCCAGAGGATACAAGGCACTGCAGAATATTAGCATGTCTTTTGCCATAGATTATTAGAAAGGAGAAAAAAAAAGGGGCCAAACGCTAGCTGCCATGAGGAAATTTTAGTTGTACCTAACTAAAAAGATTCCACAAGCTCAAAGAAGCTCGCAATCAGGTCCAAATAACAGACAGAGTTAGCATAAAGCTTCTTGCTTTTCTGCCACAAACCCCACAGGAGACAGTGCACAGCAGAATTCTAGCGTGTCTTTTGCCGTGCATGATTGAGAGAAAAAGGAGACAAATATTGGCTGCCACGAGCAAGTTTTAAGTTGCAATACCTAACTAAGAAGAATTTACCAGCTCGAAGAAGAAGCTCAGAATCAACCATCCCCAACCTAGCGGTTGATTCGTCGCGACTAATGCGAAATAAATGTTGCAGCCACATAGTTCTCCACAATCAAAGACCCGCCTGCCAAAATCATAGCTCGCTAGGGGAGGAAATCGACCGACTTCTCAAATCCTAAGGAAGAAGTAACGACATCTGCCGGAACCTACGATTCTCCGGAGCTCAGAATCGCATCGGGCACAGTGGGGTCACATTCATCTAACTAGACACACAACCCAATTGCACACCAAAGCAAAGCGAAATCGAACTCGACGCGAGCACGGAAGTACCTACAGTCGGACATCAGGACACTGGAACCCGCTCTTCCCCAGGTAGTGCTCCACCAGCTCATCGGGCACCTGGGTTAGGGAACCAACAGCGCCGCGGGAGAAGACCCGACCCATGAGAAATCGAACCGAAAAAACAGCAACAGCAACAGCAACAACAAGAAGCGCCGATCCTCGCTGCGGACATCGACAAGCATCGATTTTGAAGCGGAATTTCGGGGCTTACAGTGGGGGTGTACTCCATGAGGGAGGCGAGGAAATCGGTGAGCGCGGCGTCATCGTCGTGCTTGCTCTCGCTCGACTGCTGGCCCTGACTGTGATGGTTGTTCATCCTCCCTCGATCGATCCGTTCTGCAGGAGACGAGGAGAGAGTCTGAAATCCGAGACGGGCTCGCGGACAGCTGACCCCCGCTTGTGTTCTGGTCTCCCTCTTCTTGATGTTCGACCCACTTTTCACTTTGCACCCTCGATTCTCGCGTTATGCGCTAAATCGCACCACACGCCTTTTTCACTTTTTGCAATTAGACCCCTCGTGATTAATTTTTTCCTTTCTACTACCCCTTTACAAAGCGTACGAGTCGAACCCCTAGTCTATGATTTTAGCTTTCCCCGGGACCTTTATGCCTATTGAGCATTGGCACTTGTGATTAATTCAATCACTCGAATGATGGAAATAATGACACTTGTCACATAATAGTGGAGATTTTTCCTTTTTCGTCTGGAGTTGCCCGAACGGTTTGCGATGTCCGACTGTGAAGCGCTCCGGCCGGCGAAGGAAACTTCGGCTTTAGATATTAGCTACAGAGATTACAATATGACGAAAACTCGAGTAGTTACGAGAGAGCACGTAATGTTACTTGCCGATAAATTTTGGTAAACGTATACTTTTTTTCCTTTCTGTCGAGGGACGTGATTTGTTATATGATCGATAAAGTTAACTCAAAATGTATAGTTACAAAAATAAAGGACCGTGAGAATTCAGAAGCAAAAAAAAAAACGAAAAAGTCACAAACTATTTCAAAGTGACATAAAAAAAAAACTCTAGACTTATATCCGTGTGACGCATTTACAAGATTCTGTTAAATGATTTGCCACGTGGGGGCCATGTCAATATTGTTGGTTTTCTGGCTAATCATATAGGCAGATTTCTAAGGATTCTCATTGATAGAATTTTGACGGAAAGTAAACGTGTCACACAGATATATCTATAAGTTTGGGATTTTTTATTGTTGTTTTTGACCCCCAAAAAAAAACCAAGAGAGGAGCTCACGTGATGCGCGCGTGCGAGGAGCAAAGCAAAGCGGGGGTCGGAAACTTCCGCCCAGGAAGAGGAGAAGAGGGGGGTTTTAAGGAGGTTTTACGCAAATCCACTCTTTTCTTCAACGACGACTCCAAGCTCCGAACCCGAAATCCTCCTTCTTCTTCATCTCTGCCGCTCTCGCCGCTTCATCTCCGATCAGAATCTCCGATCTTCCTCCTCCTCCGAAATCCATGTCCGCCGCCGCCGCTCCTCCAGGACCCCCGAGCTCCGATCCGTCGGCCCATCCTCCGGATCCCTCCCCAGTCGGGACGAAAACCCTAGAGAGCCACGGTTCCGACGAGAAGCCGGGCTCGGACCGGGTCGAGGCGGATGCCGGAGGCGGCGGAGGAGAGGCGGCGGAGGAGGAGGAAGGGGAGTGCGGGTTTTGCCTCTTCATGAAGGCCGGCGGTTGCAGGGACGCGTTCGTCGACTGGGAGAAGTGCATCGAGGAGGCGGAGAAGAGCAAGGAGGACATCGTGGACAAGTGCTACCAGGCGACCGCCGCCCTCAAGAAGTGCATGGAGGCTCACCCCGACTACTACGAGCCGATACTGCGCGCCGAGAAGGCGGCGGAGGAGGAGGCCGTGAAGGAATTGGAGAGGGAGGCCGCGGCCAAGGACGCGGGGCGGAGCTCGAGCGCGAGCGCGGAGCCTGCATCCGGGGAGCGAACCGAGACCTTGGAAGTCGCGAATGAGTGATCGGGTTTCGAAGGGATTGGTGACGTTCAGGCAATTTTTCGCTTTTTAATCTTTTGATTACTGAGAGCAAAATGGCGGTTTGTGTCGGCTAATTATGCTGATTTTTCGGAAAATTTCCGAGGATAATGGAGGCAATTTTTATGTGAGGAATACAAATTGAACTTATGTTACTGCCATCTAGTTAAATTAAAGGAATAGTTTTCGAGATGGGAGAGATGGAAAGTCTCGGCATTTCGTCTCGCCGGTGTTGTCACAATAAGTGTACTCTGACATTGACTTCGAGATTTAAGCTCAGTTCAGACTAATGGCTACAAATTTGTTCCTAAAGAGCTCAATGCTCGATGTTCGCTCGCATTCCACTGTGATTCTCGCCATGTTGTGGAATGTGTTGTTTTCACTTGTTCTTGCTTATATGACTGCCACACATGATCATCTGCGGTCTGTGTTGTTGATTCTAGGCTACTAGCTCGTATGTCTTGGTTATACACCGCTGTGATCTCAATTCATTGGTCTGTTATTATTATCACCTAATGTATATGTAAGTGTTATTATTATCACATGATTATCTGCAGTCTGTGTTGTTGATTCTAGGCTACTAGCTCGTATGTCTTGGTTATACACCGTTGTGATCTCAATCCATTGGTCTGTTATTATTATCACCTAATGTATATGTAAGTGTTATTATTATCACATGATTATCTGCAGTCTGTGTTGTTGATTCCAGGCTACTAGCTCGTATGTCTTGGTTATACACCGTTGTGATCTCAATTCATTGGTCTGTTATTATTATCACCTAATGTATATGTAAGTGTTAAGTAAATAAGAGTCCAAGAAACGCAGTGCCCTAAAGGTGGAAAAGACGGGATTGAATTGATTCTTTGGCTCAAACATTTGGGTCGGCTTTATTTTGAATGCTGAACTAAATGTCTGGTGGTCTTCATGGTCACTGAGCACGAGACTGTATGGTAAATTATTGATTGGATGACCCTGAATCTGTTGGCTGCGGATTTGCTCCTATTTGCGTGAGTTTGTCTGGAGTTAGCAGCAGCTTGCAATGTGACAGATTCTTAAATTTAGATTTTTGAAGGGGCCTATACCTTACAACAGTATGTTAGCTCTCTAATGTTTCTCCTTTTCTCTTTTTTCTTTTTAAATTCTAGAAGACATTGTGGAAAAGGCTTAGAACGGCATATACAAGCAAAAGCTTGATCCATATTCTGTAGATTCTTATCTTGGGTGAGGAAACTTATTTTAATGATGGTTTTTATTGCCTATCATGAAAGAACTGTACTTTCTGGATGTTTCCCCTCCCCAGGTTTGATGTTGTCCGAAGATCGGAGATATCCCAGGATAATTGTTAATGCAGCAGGTTCTATGTCTTCTCATGTAAAAAAGTAGATCTTCATGTCATGCTCTTTCTTAATTTCTTAATATGCATTTCGAATTTTCCTTTGTATTAGGATTCGAGTTTTTAATCATGCAATCGTATATTTTCTGTCCCAATATCTTCCATCGATCTCCATTGTCGAAGCTTTCATTAACTACATCTTCTGTTCTCCGCATATGCTGAGATTTGGAATAGTTTCCCGTTACAGGCAATGTAAACATTGGAGAACGAGCTGACTTGATTACGCTAGGGATTTTTTTATGCAGAGAGATGTTCGGTATGTGTACAGAACGGGAGTGGACCTGCTTTATCCCTTCTGTAGGGAAGGTAAGGTTTGGTCACGGGTGAAGGCTGAAGTGCTGGGTGCTTGATCAACATCCAGATTTGGAATCATTATCTAAATGATCCAAAATGAGGAGCACAACATGGTGCTGTTCGAGCTTTTGGACTTGTCGAAGGGACACGCCGGTGCCTTCAACTTCGCTCGTCTGTTTAATGTAAGGTTTGGTGGTCGAACCCTAACAGTTGCTGCACTGTCTAAGCCCCGGTTTACCGTGACTTGTTTGTGCTTGTAAATTGTAATGTTTCGTGCCTCTCTCTCTTTCCTTTCAGTTTGTTCTCGTTTATATTCATGTCATAGGCTATCTGGGAAAATCGCGTGGAGTTTACCTGGCGAAGTGAATTATAGCCCTCATTATAGGAAGTATCACGCCGCGGATTGCGGCGAGCACCTTGTGATGGCGTAGCGCGCAAAGGGGCGTGACGCCCATCGGCTCCAGGAGATTTTGAAAGATGAGATTGAGAAATGAAAAGCAGACGAACAAACAAACATTTTAACACCTAATTTCCCCTCCAAATTCTCGCTCCTCTCTTGTCCCTTTCCTCTCTCTCGCGAGCTCTAGCTCGGAGAGATCCTTACGAGAGAGCGAATCCACTGAGGACGATTACTTCTGTTTTCGCCTTAATACCTCTGTTTTTTACTGTGTTTGTGAACAATGTGAAGGGATTAGGGCTTAATTTTAACGAATTTGTAAGAAATTAAAATAAAAACATATCGGTCATACTTTGGAAACCGAGAATTGAACCGATGCCTTTGGGAATCGCGTAGAACCAATTGGTCCAATTCGGCCGTTCCTTTGCATGCTCCTAAAGTTGGACTATGTAGAAAGGGATTAGACGATATTCTCCTAACCGGGGGTTGTCATGGATCCTTGGCGTGTGATTTAGGTATTACCTCACAATAATAAGGTATTTTCATTTATCTGGGTTACAACGTCTTGTTTTACGACCCTACAACCGATCAAGCCAGACATCCCCGTCCCTCCTTGATCCTTTTCAGGCCATGCTCAGGGCTAAGACCATGTAGAAAGGGTCGTACGATGATCTTCGAAATGTCCAGAGCCCTCACAAAAAAAAAAGAACCATCTCCGTGCCACGTGTCTGTTTTTGACTGGGCGGCGACACCTCACGCTGTCGCCCCATCAACTCCGGCCCCCATCTCCTCCTTCCTCAGACAGCAGCAGATCTCTCTCGTTCGGACCAGCGGCGCTGACTCTTCTCTCCGGTCGGTCGCTTCGCTCCCTCACGAACCGGCAACGATGGTGTCCCCGCCGCACGCCTCTCGTCTCCTCCACGCCGTCCTCGTCGCGACGCTTCTAGGGTTCCTGGCGCCGGCGTCTCACTCGCTCCGGTTCGAGCTGCACTCGGGCCACACCAAGTGCATCGCCGAGGACATCCGAGCCAATTCCATGACCGTCGGCAAGTTCGCCGTCGTCAATCCTCACGAAGGCCATCCCTTGCCCGAATCTCACAGGCTCTCCGCCCGGGTGAGCTCCCTTTCGGGAATAATCGAATCCCCCTTCCCTTCTTACGCCGCGATTGCATCGGGTCGAGAACCTTCTTGTTTGTGCTTTTGGTGATCTGGGGTTTGTTTGTTTTTTTTTAGCCCCCCCTCCCCCTTGTTTTCCTGATTGAACTGCTGTTTAGGTGACTTCTCCGCACGGGACCAGCTATCACCAATCGGAGAATGTGGAGTCGGGGCAGTTCGCGTTCACGGTCGCCGAAGCTGGGGATTACACGGCTTGCTTGTGGGCTCCCGAGCACAAGCCCGAAGCGACTTTGACGGTTGATTTCGACTGGAGGACCGGTGTGGCTGCCAGTGATTGGTCCAACGTTGCCAAGAAAGGCCAAGTCGATGTAAGTGATTTCACTTCTTCTTCTTTCTTCTGAAGTTGTGGTTATGTGTTGGGATTTGTGAATGTTTTGGCTCTGGATACATTGGGTATCTCTGCTCCCACCCGGGTTGGAAATTTCAGCCAATTTAGACCATAAGAATACTTGCTATCGGTAAAACTGAGACTGCGATTGGTGATTACCTGCCGCGTGCAAAAGCTTGATGAATCCATAAAGATGATAATTTGGCTCTTCCACAACTGCTTCTGGATGGAAAATTGAAGTTCATGAGAAAGTTTCCCTGGTCTTGAGTTGGAGTGGAGGCTTTTTTTTTTTTATGTTCATTTCGAAGAAGGGGTCCACATTAGAAAGCTAGTTTAAATTTGCTTATTTCAGATAGCGACCTGGAAGATGGGAGTTGTGAATGTGCTTTTGCTGTTTTTAGACTTTTAGTTAGTTTGGTTCTGGTTATGGATGCGCTTTTACAGTTTTTAGTTTGTTGGTTCCAGTTAGTGCACGGTGATGTGCTTTTCAAGGTTTGACAATTCGTGTTCACGTTCTATAATTAGGTTTTGTAACCGTGTCAAGTCGAGTCATTGAAAAATCCTATATTTTTGCTAATTCTTTTATAAAATTTACTTATGGAGTCGCGTTACTTTCGAGTTTGCCAAATAGTCGTGTTAATTTGTGTCAGAAATTGCGAGCCCTGATTTGTAAGTTAAACTGCATTGTATGAGGGGAATTACTGAAGATAGGTAAGATAGGGGAGGATCAAATTTTGCCCAGTCTATCTTTGGAGATTCTACAACTGAATAGAAAAGGAAAAGATTACGAATGATCTGGAGTGTAGGCTTGTTCTAGATGGATGAGCTAATTTTGCATATTGTCGTCTTCTGAATGCCAGGTCATGGAATTGGAACTGAAGAAGCTGTACGAGACTATCGACTCCATTCATACCGAGATGTTTTATCTTCGCGAGAGGTAACGGTATATGTACTCTTGAAACTAGATATGTTACGCGGAATGTTGGGTTTGACATGTTCGTTTGCTCTATATCAGAGAAGAGGAAATGGAGGAGCTCAACCAAGCTACTAACGCTAAAATGGCCTGGCTCAGTGGCCTTTCGCTTTTTGTTTGCCTGTCTGTGGCTGGCTTGCAACTATGGCACTTGAAGACCTTTTTCGAGAAAAAGAAAATCATTTGAATCTTGTTATAATCGCTTAGAAATGTTGTATGTACTTTTGCATAACACTTCGACGGTGATACAACTTTTTCTGGGATGCCTACTTTGTCGACAGTTCCTTGAGATCCTAAGTAGGAATTATGCCAAAGAAGAAAGAAAAAAAATAATTTTCCGAAAGATCTGGTTGTTATCATTCCTAGTGAGTTATTATTACTAAGGTCTCTAGTCTGGATTCGCATCAATAATTTTACTGATGTGGAGTTGGTTAGTTGGACAACTTGGTAGTTGTGATGATTTGACCAAACTGGTTTTCACCGTCAAATCAGGCCGTACCGGGTTTATTAGTTGGCTTGAAAGAAGCCAAATTATAACCAGGAAGATTCTAATTGTGATGCCTCCAAAAGGTTGGCTGCGGTGGTAAGGGTGTAGGACTTGTGGTCCCAGGTCCCAAGTTTGAGTCCCCTCTGCCGCGTAGCCTTATCATACTCTTGACTTACATGGAGGCTAGTTTGTGGTGTTAGATTAGCTCTCCTCCGGTTGGTGCCTGGCCGGTCGGACCCTTGTAGTGCGGCCGGTGCGGGAATCCAGATTATCAAAAAAAAAAAAAGAGATTCTAATTGTGATGTCGAATGTCGTGCAGTAGAAAATTGAGTAAGTTAACGTTATGCTTCTAAATAGGAAGCACCATACTCGGAAGGATCTGGCTAGTGAGACGAAGTAGTATTTGGGCGAAATGGTCGTTAACAGGATCTCCGGGAAAAGTGTTTAAAAAGTCTTTAATTTATTGTATTTGTGCCAATTTAGTTTTAAACTTTTTTTAGTGCCAATTGAGTTCTAAATTTTTTTATTTTTGTGTCAATTCAGTCTTTCCAATTAATTTTGGCCAGATTTTGGTGACGTGGACGCTGGCAGTGCCACGTAGGCCTGCCGGTAATGACGTGGATAATTTATAATAATATTTTAATATTTTTTCGATTTTTAATTATTATATTTCTGATTTTTTTTTTCCTTTTTTTCTCTTTTCTTTTTTGGCTTTCTTCCTCCCATTGCCGGTAACCGGCCACCGGCGATGGCTAGGCGGGTTGCCCTTGCCCGGGCGTGGGTCGGCCTCCTCATGCCCGGGCGATGCCCAACGCGGCTTGGGCAAGCCCCGGCCAAGCAAGGGCGAGCCCCAGCGAGGGGAGCCTCCGTCGGGGCTCACCCTTGCCCAGGCGAGGCTAACCCTTGCCAGGCCTTGCCTAGGGGAGGGCTCCCCTAGCCGAGATGCCCTCGCCTAGGCAAGGGTTAGCCTCGCCTGTGGCGGGCGACGGCCCGCCATGGCTGGGGTGGCCAATCACCGAAAAAAAGGTTAAAGAAAGAAGAAAGAAAAAGAAAAGAAGGAACAAAGAAAAAAATAACTAAAAAATAATAAAATATTATGAAAAATTGTCCATGTCATCACCAGCGGGCTTACATGGCACCGCCGGCGTCCACGTCACCAAAATCTGGTTAAAATTAGCCGGAAGGATTAAATTGGCACAAAAATAAAAAGATTTAGGACTCAATTGGCACCGATGCGTAAGATTTATTACTTTTTCAGATCCCCATGGTTGTTTAGCTTCTGTTCCACTCAAAGTAGAGAATACAGAGCAGTGAGGTGAAGTAACCGCCCTTGTAGTTGTAGATGGTTCCATGAGGACCACCAGCCCTCTTCCTTTCCTTGGATACTTCACGTGCGCAAACCAGTTGTAGGACAAAGGCCATTTTTCATATTGTACTTTGGAAAAGAAAGACTATGAGGGAAGCAGCAAAAACAAAGCAATCTGCATCGGTCGGTCAGTCGACAAAAGCATGGTTTTGTTGCACAATTAACGTTACGGGTTTTTTACAACCGACGACACAATACTGAAACACAATGAGAGTTTTGGCATAAGCATTCGGAATTTATCGAGGTAAAAAGAAACATTAATCCTTTTGATTTCTCCAAATGGACCAGGGACCACAGCGGACTAAAACTTTATATTACAAAAGAAATGTGGTCAAATGACTTCGGCTTGATGCAAATGTGTCAACCTGGACAATGCTTGGCTTTCTTACGGTTGATCAAGAATATAAGACTCTTGCAATCTTAACTCAGGAAATACATCACTCTGCTCAGTCTTCACATTCAGAATCTGGCCTCAAAGCGTGAGTGAATTATTCTCACAACCTTTAATTGCTTCTACACAGCAGCCATCTGAACTGTGCACGATCAGGGGCACAAGAGTGTGACAGTAAATTACAGCATAGATAGATCCAACTTAACATCCCTGTCGATTCAGCATTAAGCATTGAATAAGCTCCAGTGATGATCAGTATGCATAGTTTCTTTAATTTTCTCGAGTCTCTTGAGTATTTCCAGGAATGGAGGTCTTTTGTTCATGTCGGCGGCCCAGCACTGCTCTGTTAAACTGCAAATATTCCACGTAAAAAATCAGCAACCCAGCATTTAGAAAGTGATGCATTCCCAAAAATATGTTTTGGACTCGTATAAGAAGTCAAGTCCAAAGAAGAGTCGAGAGCAATGATTCCTTCTATTGAGATAAAGAGGTTCACGAGACTGTTGAAGGACTGCTCATATGATAAGAAAATCCAAAAGAAGTATTGTCATATCTGGCAAGAAAGCAAATTCAAGCCTATCCATCCCAAAGTATTGTTCATGGAAGAGAATGACAGAAATCCAAGCAAGCATTCCTCTAAAGAGCTTAGTCAAGCACAGAGAGACAAGTTTTCACTTGCCAAAAGCTTTAGGGGGATAAAATACCAAAGTATACGGAAGAAAGATGAAGCTATCCTAATTTGACAAGACAGGAACCCATTTAACAATTTTTGGGGACTTTTCCTCAATTACAAAGGCTATTTGATGATTTAAGAAAATTCATTTGATACACTGATGGCAGAGAAAATTCGCACTTCTCACTATTGACTTGACAGAACTGCCCAAGGGTACACTTTAGTAGTCTTACGCTCTTTTCACACTAGACTAATCAAGCAACTCAAAGATTATCCTACTTTGCACAAGGCTGTCGATTAAGAAACCTTCATGCACATGATGTTCACAACAATCTAATAGTTGCTCTTCTATGAAAAAAAATATGCATAGCTTGTTCTTTTCACCATTTAGAATTTGATTTAAGTTCAGACTATATTTGGAAAGCACCAAACGTTTGGTTTTAATAAATCCAGAATCAACTTACTCTCGCAGATCTTGGATGTATCCTTTCGAGCGGAAGATAGGTCGATTGCCTTCTGCCACATATTTGGCAGCTTCATATGGCTCATAATTGGACATCGGTGGATCTCCTTCAAGCATCTGTACATTGAAAATATTATCAAGAAAAGAAACTTCAAGTACTTCAATCCTTGATATCCAAGCCGAACAAATGGACACTTACCTCGTATAGTATCATGGCAAATGAGAAAACATCAACCTTCTTATCATACTTCCGATGCTTAAAAACTTCAGGAGCCATGTAGCGGTCTTCGGTTTGTTCCATGGCAAAAGGAGACATAGTTAAGAAGAAAAATGTAAATCAGCATGAGTTATCATGTTATATACAGAAAAGTTCCTTTGAGACACTCACAACTTCCTGTTTCGCCAGTCATTTTATAGACATCATGAGAATTTTGAACCCTGATTAGTTTACTTAGTCCAAAATCTCCAACTTTCAAATGGTCGGCACTAGAGTTGACTAAAAGGACATTCCTGGAAACAATTCAGACGGCAGATTCAGGAATGTAGTCGATAAAAATAAGAAGTCCCAAAGGAAGGAAATCACCCAAGAACAAATGAGAAGGATGAGGAATTTCATTGATTGTATTAGTAGAGAGAAACTTCACCATATTCTAGGCACAAAGATGCTCACCTAGGTTTCAAGTCTCGGTGAATTATGACATTTGGCTCATTATGCAGATATGCCATACCCCTGATCCAAAAAAGTATAGTTGTTTAGCATAATGTAGCTGGCAATTGTCAATATCACATTCCACTATACTACAAGAGTCAGTTTCCCCCTCCCTCCCCCCCTTTCAAAATAAGATACATCTAAACAAATGTGCACTACAAGCATTCGAACAACAACAGATCATCATGGGTACCTGTTAGCCATTATGTTGAAAGATTTATGCCCGGAAAAAAAATCTGTGCACTACAACCATGCGGCTAACAAAATATCATGCTCAACTATTAGCAGTTCTGTTTGAAATATTTAAGTGTACCATCGGAATCATCCTCACAGTCTATTTGACTTAACGGATGACAGGAAAAACTGATACAAATGACAAGACGACAGGGTCCAAAATGGGCTGTCAAGACATTTACCGCTAACTTAATTTCCTCTACCTGTGGGTGTTGAGGTCTAATAACTTGGGCAGCCTACATAAGAAGGGGAAGAGGAATAGAATGATTCCAAGTTTAAAAACTATGCGCGTTGGGATGGTTCCCAAGGTCACATAGTACACAAGAACCAGGACAAACACTCTCTGCGTAACTAATGGATGAGAAACTTTCTCATTAAATATGAACTATCTTAACAAACCAAACCTTCATAGCTGATTCATTCACTTTCCCTTTCCCCAGGAATATGTGAGTAGGGAGATAACATGAGCATAAAAAGTTATACACGCAGGCAATTCAGTGAATAACAATCAGTGAGATTTTTTTCACGTCTCTTTCCTTAAAGGTCTCCTCCATAAACCTCAGCTCTAAGAAGATACATGCGAAAAGATTATGTGAACAAAGAGTAGCATTTAGTTTCTTGTATAGTGACCTATAAGATGGAAAATCTCAAGTAATAAGCACCTGGCAATGTCCAAAGCAAAGTTGACAGCTGTTGAGGGGCTGAGAGAACCTTTCTCCTTTAGGTACTGATGAAGATCACCCTACATGAGTAACTAAATGTCTCAAACCGAGTACAAGCAAAAGTGCGATATGCATCAAGCATCCGAGAGAAGGAACAGCAAGTTTCAATAAAGCATGATATCCATTCTGTACCCCTCGCAAATACTCCGTTATCAACATAAGAGGCTTCCTCTCGGTGACAGCGCCAAGAAATTGAACTATGTTAGGGTGGCGAAGCTTGACTAGCAAATTAACCTCATGCCTGAAATCCTGACTGAATAAAAAAAAAACCGAAAGATGAGATTGCTTTTGCTATCCT